AAATAAACTTGTTCAAACATTAGTTATAAATGTGTTATATCATTAGTATACGGTCAAACATTTTTATTTTGATTATTAAGAATCATTGATTTGAAATTATTTGAATAAACAAATGGACAATGCATAAAAATCACAAAAACAAGAAAAATGTAAATTATACATTTTTTTATACATAAAACATTAATGGTTTTGTTAGTTGTTATGTTTTATTTTTAAATCAATAACTATTTATATGACTACACCAATTTTTTTAATTCGTTATTCTTCTTGTATGTTAGGCTTCTTTCCTTAATAGTAATGATTTCAACTATAATGTCAATTTTAATAAATGAAATAGTAATTTTAAATGTATTGAAATTTGAAAATATAGAACAAAATTATAATATTTATGACTTTAAACTAAAATGTGTTCTTATTTTTATAAAATAAATCACTTTCATGTACATATTATATACCTCATAAGTTTATGCTTTAAGTAGAGTTCTGTACCCACGTCCTAAACTTTAAATCCAAAGCATACCGTTTATTTAATTACGTATACGACTCAAATTTTTTAGTTCAATACAATTTTTATTCAATGTAATATATTATTAAGAAATAAAAAAAAATGTACAATGTATTCTATACGCATGTAAAAATTATTCTAAATTGTGTACCGTATATGATATTTGATTAAATTAAATTCCAATTTCAATATCAAAGGAAGTAATTTGCCCTGTTTGCAATTATGACATTAATTTACTTATACGACACACCCATGACCTACAATACCGCTTATTATGTTTTAAAATTATTATTAGGTTTAGATTTATGATTGGGGCCTCTTCAGTGGAAGTTATAGCTCCACGTGATCACGGGACATGCATGTATTCATATTAACTGAAACGTTAAACATTATGTACACCATCAATCATCATGATATGTGTTATTAATCGTATAATTTATATACAATAATGAATGTGATATTAGTTATAACTTATAAACAATAATAATATGAGCTACAAAACAGCAGAAATATTTAATAATTTTGTTCTATTTACAACATGCAATTTTATTGAGTACAGCTGAATTTTAAAGTTTCAAGGCACTAGGTAGGTTGGTGTTTAAATTATCTTTACTCTTCAGAATATTATAGATTTTAATTAGAGAGATGGATGTATTAGCTATACACTGAAGTATGTGTGGTTTTTTCTTAGTATATATGATATTCTGATTTCTCGTTTCAGAGCTTCAATTTTTAATACTGAGAGCGTTGTTTCTGGTAAAAAATGTTATCCAGTAAATTTTTCAAGAGAGGCAAGTTAAAAAATGCTCAGTAATTCTAGAAATAATCGAGAAAATCTAAAGACAAATCTCCGAAAAAAGTGAACGTTTACACAACACCAGTTTTTGACAAATATATATATTTTTTTCGTTATTCAAATAGCAATAATTATATAAATAAATCACACTATTTTAAATATAGAGTTATTCGTACCAAAAACCTATTCATACTATTTCTACTTTACGGTACAAATCAGTTCAGCCTACCAAATTTAGTAAATAGTAACAATAAAATGAATACAAATGCAATACAAACATACCGAGGAATTGAATAATATTATATTGATTTGATATTTTTCGTATTCAATAATTTACCATCGAAATCAAATTAAACACAAACCTTACACTATTATACAGTGACCTACTCATGAGCGTGCACTTACATCATCGGTGGTGTGGTCGTACAGGTAATATATAAGTATAAGTATATAAGTATTCACTATATTCAGGTTTAAACTCTGATCCAGACATTATTTACAACGTGAGTGGGAGGGTCGGCGATTGGGTAATGGTTTTTAACCACTATTCTCTCACCACACTTACCGACTTACTGTAAACCGAGTATAATAAATGCATAAGATAATCACATATGCTGATACATTATTATTTCAATAGCTATATTAAAATAACTAAAAAATTATCTTTAACATTATTAGGTAGGTTACAACCCTACAAATATGAATATTATTATAACACCACCACATAGAATAGCGTAACTAGTATAGCCGTCAGTCACATTCCCCTGCACAGAATATATACAACTTTAATAATTATAGTACAAACAATCCAAATCATAATGGTATACACCTGAGGAAAGTTCATAGAGGATCCTGTTTTCTTGCTCCGTGTGCCATTCTTATTGACGAGATACACTTAAAACGTTCTACGCCGCGGAGAAATATCCATTTTTTTTTTTTTCATTAATCGTGTTTTATATATTATACTAGTGAAATTCTATTTCCTATTGTTATTCTTTTTTAATTACGTTAATAAGAAAAATTAGTTGTTTCGTAGTATAATCTAGAGTCACAATATTGATTATGGGCTATTGAAAAAAAAGGCAAAACTGTTGCTTTCACCCTATCACTCGATTTGTAAAGGATCGCGTGAGAAGTCGGCTGTACAAATTAATGTATGTCGTCGTTGTCACTATTCCCATAATATAGCCCTTTGTTGCTATTATCGTGGGTGTGGCATGACCACCGTACTATTCGAGTATGACTACTTTTTTATTTCAACCGTGATTGTAGTCGACTCTAGACTTATCGCTATAATGTCTAGATCTATCTGCTAACAAACTGTTATGGAATTCAAAGGAGAAAAAAAAGGACATGCCATAAAACGTAAGTACTTGCACGTTTAGCTATGCTGTAGATCAATGCTATGAAATAATTGTACCTGTTTAAATTGTGCATTATACTCAAAATAATTTGGAATAAAGTTTTTAAATACGTGTACGCGTTTCGCATTAAACTTTATAATTGTATGTTTGTTTTTGTTATTGTTCAAATCAGTGAATGCGGTACAACGATAATAATCATATATCACTGAGGATTAATATTAACGGAAAGGGAAGACGTTCTATATTGGACCCATATTATTAATAGTAGTAACTGAACATGCATATTGGTTGGTATTACTATCATATTTGAACAATAATTTAAACATAATATGTCATACCCTATAGGTCCCATAAAATAAAGAAGCAACATCAAATAAATCATATTAACTGTAATATTATTTGAAAAACTTGTATTATATATTTGTAAGTTTGAATTTCTCCAACATGAAAAAGTTTGAAAAATAGCTCAATTTTAAAGTACAGGTTAAAGTTTTTTTCAAGATCAAAAACTCTTCATTTAAATTCAATTCAATAAAAGAGTTTTTGTGTGTATTTTAAATATTTAGAATTTATTAAAATATTTTAATAATACATGTATTAAATATATTATACATAATATTATGGTTGATTTTAAATTAAATTAATTTCTTATTATCTTTAACAAAAACAAAAATAAAAATATTAGTGTATCCAAATTCGACATCAATGATTTTATTTATGTTTTAAACTAATAAAATCGAAAAAATAGGCTCTTGAAGTAATTACTATTACATAGCGTTTTAAGTTTTTTCATACTGCAATATTTATTCATAATGCATTGTAGTTTTGCAGTTAATCTTTCATAATCTGTTCATAAACCTTTACCCGTTCCCCACATTGTATTTGACTAAAATAGCATAATATATTACTGCGTGGTTGTCAGTTCTCGAAATACGATATTGCAAAATTATTATTACTTATTCTGTATTGTGCGTAACTGCAAAATCAAGAACATCACACAATTACAACCTAAATATATGGAGATTTAGTTTATTAAATATGAAATATAAAAATATGTAATCATTTTTAGTTTAGTATTTATATGCATTATAGTTATTTTTATTGTATTCTCAGATGCTTTATACAAATATTATAAAATGCTCAAAGTTTCATAACAGATTAAATCCAAAACTATTATTGTTGTATAAAATGACACTTAATAACTCTGATAGTTTACTCGTTTTGAATATTGACATAGTTTCATGATTTTTGAGAAAGTCATACGTTTGAAAGTTTAAAATAAAAGAGAAAAGGTCCTTATTTGAAGAGTCAAAAAGTTCGTATCTACCAATAATGATTAGGACAGTTATAGGAAATATAAGTATAGGACGACAAGATTACATAATATTATACAATTCGAACGTCGACGACGGATTTCTTTTCGGTCCGTCGACAATCGGATGATTCATATTTCTGGCCGTATATAGCCCGGCGAGCACATCCTCCTTAATTCACTCATCCGCGGTGTGTATACACAACATTTTACGCGTATATCATAATGTAACATGTACAATGTACGCATAGATTCCGGAAATCCGAAATGCCACGTCGACACAGCATTCACATCCGCGGTGGTGTTCGAACGTCACGGGGTCGGCTCGTGTTTTTTTGTTCGGGCACGTGCAAAATGATAAATTACACCGCGTCCTTGCGACGGCACGCGGAATCCCATCAGGACGAGCCGCTGATTGCGTTTGCGAAATCTAAAAACGACACGAATTCCAGGCGGCGGTGGTTGCGTAATAATAATAATAATAATAATAATAATAATAATAATTTTACTGTTGCGCCGCGTAACGTTTAATTAACTCCGGCTGGAGAGGTGAGGTCGGATGACGGCCGGCGGGGTTCTCCGGGGTTTTGGGGGGAGGTGTGGGTCGTCGGGAGTGGGTCGCGGATAGGGGGTGTTTAATCTGCTTAATGGCGGCACAACAACCGTCAATTATTATACTACGTCGGGGAGACGTTGCACGCGATTTCACCCAAAACGGACTCGCGTGGCATCCCCCGGCCAAACGATGTTTCACGCACGCTGTTCTGAATATTATTACATAACTTACAACTATTATATATATTTTCTACATTTGATAATAATATTTATAATAATTATAACACGTATATTGTACAAGTTATCCGTACACACACACACAAACGCACTACACGTGACAGTAAACATTATAATAATACCGTGTCTAAACATTTCGAGACGGCGGCGTTCGCTTTGAAGTAATATGACCTATAATATGGCTACATATATACTATATTATATTATGACTGCAATGATTGAAAATTACAGGGGCCGACGTCACCGGGTCGCCGTGATTCGTCGACAGTGGAATTGTTTTTCGACGACGACATGAGTATTAGCAGAGGACATTCGGTGGAAAAGGTTCGGTTTTCAGCCAGCCGGGCGCATTCAGACGGTACGTTATAGCGTTATTCGTTCACAACGATTTATACAAATACTACGGACAATATGAGTTATTAGACAACGATTCGTTGAGAGAAATCCCTGGCCGGCGTACTATCCATATAAGTGCAGATACAATATGATATATACAGTATATTTTAAAAAAATACACAAAATATTAAGTTTGGTCTACAATTTGTTTTAAATCTTTAAACGTACATACAAGAGTATAATATTTGTACTATTTCCTAAAGAAATAAAACAATTGAATACTAGATAGGAATATAGCGATACATTTAATAGCATAGGTACCTACACAGTAAGATGAGGCAATTTTTTAGATCAAGACAATAGTACAAAAATATAATGAATTTAAAATTACACTTTATGAACGAGCTTGTTCGGGTGTTATATTTACTTGAACGACAAAGAAAGTATAGCATACATTTTTCAATGTCCAGTCAATATTAAGATGACAAAAATATTACACAACACTTCCAGTAAAGATAGTACATTGCCAGATCCGTAATTGATCCATATTTCAGTTCATATTGTCTTTTTATTTTAATCATGACTCAACTTGATGGACATTATTGATATCAACTTGGCAGTATTGTCTTTGCAAGCTTTATAAAATATAAATATTTATAAATTGTCTTATACATAATTATTTACGTTCTAAAATGTATCAGCTATTTAATACATATAGTTTGAATTTTATTTAAATTTGATATTTTATTTGCCCACTTAGTGCAAATAATATGTGTTTTTTTAATATTCATTTTAATAAATTGGCTTTTGTTTAGAAAACGATGAGGATTATTCAGCTAGTGTAAATGCAATACTCCATAAGCGGCTTAGTGTTAGGAAAGGCAAACACCAAAAGCAAAGAAGATCGTCTTCTCCCGTGTCTTCAATGCTAGCGGATGACGCCAGTTTAATATCGGATCGAAGAAGATCGTCAGCTTTTACAACCAGCTCTGGAGAGTGAGTTTTTTAGCGTTTATATAAACCGCATAAATATATTAAACGGATATAAATTACAATGTTAAAAATTCTAATTCATTAAATTGAAGCTTTAAGAACAAATAGTAAAATCATAAAATTGAATTTCGTTGTCCAGGTTATCCTCATATTATACATAAATAGTAGGGCTCAATTTGTAAAAATAAGAGACTCTGTTTCTAGTATTAATAGTAGTATACAAGATTCTTCTGGGGTTTCTCAAGGGAGCCACTTGAAACAAGGATTTTATTTTGTAGTATTTATTAAGGGCTCCGCAAAGTGTTTAAAATAGTGTAATTTGTTGTTGTTTGTAGACAATAATATGAATATTTGTGCACCTATTTATAAAGACGACCATGCTATTGGCTATTGAATATATTATTCTGAGTGATTTGTTTAAATGGTATTTCTATTAATGTCTTTCATTTCATCAACCCAAGAAATTTATTAATTCGAGTTATAACATACGTGGCACCTTATTTCAATCAATGACTACTATTCCTGATCTAGGAACCATATTGATTCAGTAGACATGTCATTTGATGCCCATATTGGAGCAATCTATGATAAAAGCTTGTGCTCTACTTTAATGAGTTGAAAAACCAACTTTGTTGAAATGTATTATATTGTTCCCTAGTTAGATCTATTCTACAATTTGCACAGTTATTTGTAACAGCGGTCAACAAGATTGAATTGATAGACTAGAAACAATTCAAGTATGCTTTCTTCGATTTTTTGCTTTAAGAACTGATAGTTAATACGACATTTTATAGTTGTGATGATATTGCTGCATTTTTTGGTCTTAAACTATTGAAATCATGACGTCTAGTTTTTGGCTAAATATTTATATTTAAACTACTTAATCGTTTTATAGATTTATTTGCAGAGTTTTTTTTTAGCTGAAATTAACTTAAAGGTGTCATCATTTTATTCAAGAATAAACCCACCCTTTATTATACTACATCTCTCTAGTAATAACTAGGTTCCATTCAAATAATCCGATTCGTTAACTTTTACAGTTTTACGTTTGGGTAATGAAATTCTAGATTTTGTAATAAACATAATGATATTATGTATACATTAAAATCAATAATGTTTAATTGTAATACTTTATGTACAAACTATGTCTACTATTTTTAGTTTTACTATTTAATTTTTAACTATAGACATATTATATCAACTCTATACTCGTACTTTCTTAAAATAAAAATCATTGAATTAAATTAAATAGTCATGAATGTTATGATATTTTCATAAGGTTTGAGTAATTTATTATTTAAAATACAATACCTTTGGTTATTTTTCTTTTATAATACTAAGAGTGATAAGAAAAACAATTTAAAAGGAAATTCAGTGATTCATAACTGCAATATATATTAAGTATATTACTTATCTGAAATCAGTTCATTATTTGAAAAGATGTTTAATTTCCTCAAAGAAGTAAAACTGTTTAAACTATTTAATGTTTATATTTATGACATAGAAAATTAAAATATATCTATCAAAACTTACAGAAATATGAAAAAAAAAATTTTTAAATTGTGCGCTATTGATCTTATATAATCAACAGAAAATGCAAATGATATCTGATCGCTTGATCTTTCTGTCTTGTTGATATTGTGTGGAAATCATTGTAGAAACGCTTTATAAGTAGATATAGAATCTTTTACTTATTTATCGCGTTCACGAGACGGAAACGTGAAATTTGTTAAAATATTTCCATCAATATATAGTTATGTTTCAACCGTTATTCTTAGAAATCAGAAGGAATACTCTCTGTGTAGGTTTAGTCTTAGGATTTAAAAAACAATCTCTGTGACCTAATTTGGTCAACTAGGTATTAAAACATACTTAACATTTCACTATTTATCATATTCGGACAGTCGAAATATGTTGATGACAAGTTCTACATTTGAATCTATAATCAATATTACTATTAATTAATTAATTAAGCTAATTTCGAAATGTAGTGTCTTAAATTACTTATAATGGAAGTTAAGATGTATTTAAAATCAAAAATAATTATTAAATTTCCCAATCTACTAAATATTTCTTAATTATAAAATGTATACTAAGTATTTACATTTAATGAAACAAATATTTTTGTCTAACACCTTGATATAACATAATATACGTACTCTATAAATGTCTAGAAATATTTGTGTATGGATAATTAATTCCATAAAAATGGGTATTTTGGAAATAAGTATAACAGGAAATGTTTTAATACTTTTAGAAAAATTACTTAGACTATACTGCTTTATAACGGATAACATGAAATTATTTTATGATTATTGATTATTTAATAAATCTTTGGCATTGTAAGAATCTCCATACCTAATTAATTTTTTCAAATTACTTTATATATGCTATGCTTTAGTCAGTTTGGTTTTGATTTAATTGAAATGTATCAATATTATATTCTATTGAATTTCAAAAGCTTTACTTACGTGCTATTGCTATTGACTTCAGTTTTTTTTTTAATGGACAAATTCCTAAGAGTAACATTTTTTACCAAGTGAAGTATAATGGACGCAATAATAATGATTTTTATTTGAAATATAAATTATATACTTTTGAACCCTATTACTTTCATTTGGTTTTTTAAAGAGAAGGTTTATTAATACAAATTGTACAACATATTTTTTGGTACCCAAGTTTATAAATATTGTCAGTAGGTAGTAATTTCGGTCAACAAAATATTAAGCCCACCCTGATCTTCAGTAAATTATAAAATTATCAACGAAACCGTTATTAATATTTTGAAAATAAATCTATTTAGGTATTAGAGAATTCTGGTCATTTTGTATAGAAATTATTTTGACAAGTACGATGAACTTCAACGTTACCTCTCAGATTCAATTGTCGTTAAGTTTCGGTTCAACAGGCCCCAGGGAATACTTTATCCCCTTTCATATTTCTAACTTTTTTTATTATGTCAGAATCAGTTATAAATAATACAATTGTGTGTCATTTTTATGCTTTCTAAGACTGCATATTACATTTATGCGCATGAAGATAGATGCTATGAACATTTTAGGATAATTCAAACATTTTAAACATTGTAAATATTGCATATATAATGTTGAAATACGTGGTTTTTATTTATTTAACACGTACAATGTATAAATATAAATTATGATTTATAAAATAATTACCTTTCATAAAATATATTTCAGCAATCTTCTCAGCATTAAAAAATAAAATATGTCTTATATGGTTTTATTATAATACACCTATTATATTATACTTAAGTTATGATATTTTTGACAGAAACATAGGCATATTTTAAATCTTGAATCAACGATTAGTACATTTGAAAGATTATATATTTACAGCACAATGTATTATATATATTGTATATTGTTAAATTCCTAAGTACATCGGGCATTGTATAATAATTAAACCTAATAATTTTGCTTATGATTTCAGCACGGCGATTAATATCGAAGATGCTGGTATCTCTCAAGAGCAGATATTTGAAAACATTCGTTTACACAAAGAGGTATTGGGTAGCGTACGACAGCAACCGTGGTCTATACGGAGGAAGATGAAATTGGTTCAGCAAGCCAAAGAATACGTGAAGAAGCACGAGGGTCAGCTGCAAGAACGTTTAGCGATGAGTAAAAGTACGAGAGATATCATGGCGCGGTTTCACATAGTCCTAGTCAAAGTAATACGATATAATATAACAATGATATTAACCTCGGCGTTAATAAAATATTGGTAACTGTTCACTGCGAAAATATAGCAATGGCAGCACAGTAAACGGGAGATGGCCAATTTCATAAGTCAAATTATTCCATGGGAACTAACGATCAAAGAAATCGAATCTCAATTCGGCACGGTGGTCGCTTCGTACTTCACGTTCCTCCGCTGGTTGTTCTGGGTGAACTTTGTCATATCCGTGTTGTTAGCAGCCTTCGTCGTCATGCCCGAAGTACTCGATTATATGCAATTATAACATTATTAACATCTAAACCTGAACATTCGTACCTGCAATAATACAAAGTGTACCCTTTAATAATAAACCGTTATGTTTTCACAGATTTTAACGACCAACAAGGCAGACACTGGAGAGCGTAAGACACTGTTGCCAGAGGAGCAGGCCACTTCTATGGAATTAATGACTTTGTTGAACTTTGAGGGAGTCCTACAGCATTCACCCATGTTTTACGGCTACTATTCGAATCGACAAAGTTCCGACACCGGATACCGGCTACCAACGGCCTACTTTATTACGGGGCTCGTTGTTTACATTTACAGCTTCGTGGCTACGCTCAGAAAGTATATATTATACCACCTGGATATCCGATCGACAATAATAGTCGTTTTAATGTGCATTTGTCTGTTCGTTGTATCAATTATTGCACAGAATGGCCGCAAACTCCCGTTTGAGCAAACTGTCCGAAAAAGACGATGAGTGCATTTTTACGTGGAAACTGTTCACCGGATGGGATTACATGATCGGAAACGAAGAAACCGCTCACAATCGTATATCATCGATTATACTCGGTTTTAAAGAGGCATTGCTTGAAGAAGCTGAAAGAATGAAAGACAAACAAAAGTAATTAAATATCCATCCTAATATAAGCTTTTACCCATATTATGCGTGACCACACGCAGTTTTTTAAAATCAATTCAAATTACGTTTTTATGGGAAAAGGTATAATACTTAGATTTTTAAGGTTGCTGAATGCTTAAGTTTACGTCTTCTCTGATAGTTATACTTACACTTTTTGTCCCCCCGCGGTGTATTATAAATATTATTTTGTTTTTCTCGCCTGTTTCGCAGTTGGAAAGTGGTGGCTTTGAGGATATTTGCAAATCTGAATATGGTATGGATGCTTGGAAGTTCAGTTTATGCCGTCATTCTCGTGGTGGGCAGATCCACAGAACCAGAGGCCGAATCCACGCTATGGAGAAAATACGAAATCACAGGTGTCATGACTCTCATTGGTACGTTCTTTCCGATTGCTTTTGAAATTTTGGGAGTGTTGGAGAGTTACCACCCAAGAACAACACTCCGTGTACAATTGGCCAGGTACCTATTAATACCTATTACAATTACCAAATTCACTTCATATCTATTGATTTGAATACGAAATTTAAATCTTATCAGTGTTTGATAAAAGACAGAGTATAACTTACTCGTAATTTATTTATTGAACTATACTTTCATTCTTGTTGTAGATAAACAAAATAACTACTCATTATATTTTTTATTAATTTTAAGCACAGTACTTATTTATGTCCAGTAATATGATTGTTGTAAAATTCTTTACATATAATATATATTAGTTTTGCTTTAAAAACCCTTTAATAACAATTTTTAAAATTTTCTAAAATTATATTTGCATTATACAATTGATTAATTACATCGATGAATTTGATAGTCACATAATTTATGCAAAAGTATTGACTTTGTAAATTTAAATCAAATGTTGATATTTGAGTTTTTTTAATCATTTATATTTATCTTTGAAACATTTAATTTAGCAGTTTAAATGTTTATAATCTAGAAATAAACTCTTTCAAGCAAATGGTCACTAATGGGTGACTTTTTACTCAAGTAAACTATGTATTCTGTCTCTCTTCTCATATACTTTTTATGCTAAGCAGTATAGATTGTAAATATTTTATATAAAAAAGAAATAAATGAATACATTTTAAAATTGAATATCATATTATATTGTTTATATTATATGTACAAACACTACAAACCGAAAGATTTGATTGAATTTTGTTAAATCATTTAAATATTAGATTTATTACTAATAAAAACAATTAGTGTTAGATATATGATAAAAAATCCAATACAAGACAAGATTTAAACAAACTAAAATTATAGATAATGTTGATTAAGAACCTACTCGAATTGTATACAAATAATATTCCAAGAAATTATGCTACTCTGTGCTTCCATTTGTACGTGACTTTTCGTGGTAATAAAAAATCGGCATGGTTCAATATTGAAAGTTCGATTGAAAGAAATTTCTCCGAAGTGCCGGAACAAAATTCAATATTTTCTCAACGAAAGTATGAAAAAAATATCTACTACACACTTAAGGAAATATTTCATGCGTCACTGCACTCACCAATACTTACTATAGTATTTGTTACATGTTGTATACGGATGATTAGACGCTGGCGAATTTGTTTGAAATAAAAATCTACCCAACAATTTTACTTTGAACACAAATTGTTTTATACAAATATTTACAAAACGAGAGTGTGTTGAACTTTTGTATTATTTATATAACCTGGATAAGTGGCTTTTTACTATAATTATATGATCCTTTATGCGGTAACATAAATGTCATAATATCTATACTTCTGGAAGACTCAACAAAAACATCAAAACATGATTAAAAAGTTCAAATCTGAATGCTTCACCATCTAACATTACTTATTAGGTACCATTTATAATTGTTCCTTACTCATTGTAGTTATGTTTTCATAATTTTCTACAAAAATACTGAAAAATTACACATTTCAAGTTCAAAAATATATTTTACATATTAAGTTAGTTTGACTAAAAATAAAAAAACAACGATACATATAAAACTAGCTAAGCTCAGAAACAAATATAAATATTAAAATTCAGGAAATTGAAAAATAATAACATTTATTGTATGCTCTAACATTGTAATGTTTACATATAGTTAACTATATAAATTTAAAATAATGGTATATACCTAGGTCACAAAAATAAATACAACGGAAGTCGCTCTGCTATTATATGTTAGATTTTGAGTGCGTCTCGTTATTGAGTAGGTCACCGCAGTTTGTTTAAGCAATGGATGTGTCAAATTTGAATTCAATTAATCATTGCATAATATGAAAAACGATGCTGAGCGAAAACGGTGTGTCAATATATATTTTTAAAAATATTTTATAAAACTTTTATATTATACCTTTGGTAATTAATTTTTCTATTAGTGTTAGGTTGAACTAATTTTTGCCAAAAATTAATTTGGATTATATTATATCATGTTTATTATTTTTATTAAGTATTAATTTACGAGTCAATACTGCCATAGCTTAAAATTAATCTAAATATTTTAAAATTTCATAGTGTGTAGAAAATTATAATTTATTCATTATTAGAAAATTTCATGTTTTTAAGATTAAGTGAAGCCATAGGCACTTAACACATAAAAAAAATATAAGAAAAAACGGTTCACTCAGGTGCAGTTTATATTTTTCTCTATAATTCACTTAAAATAAACTGAAATAAAAATCCGGTAAGCAGATTTATCAAATCTATATATATCTACTCGTGTAGAGACTGTCTACACTATCTCGATATAGACAACATTACGAGTACAAATTTCTCTTAATATTTTTACAACAAAATTATAAAAATCGTAAAAGTAAACGGAATAATAAGTTTAATATTCGGAACTTCAAACGCTCATGAAAGATTAATTTGGTCTTATCTTAAATTTTAACTAGGATACTAGTTTTATATCTATCTCCTGTCAACCGTTCGTATAGGTACCACATATTATTCAATAATTACACACGTTTCATACTCGAATAAAATAATAACATGTAATTATAAATCGAATGGAATTGAATAAACAGTAATTATGATCTAAGAACAAAATTATATGCATCCTATAACAGAACTTAAAATAAAAATTATAAAAAAACCAATCCGACCCATATTGAATAGTAGGTATATTGTTTTAATATTGCTGTTGTTAGCAATAGCAAGTAGCAACTATTATACTTTTATACGATACATTGTTTTGTATTTCGAATAAAAATAATGGGAAAATGGTTTGAATGGCTGTCTCGGGATACAGTTGTGATTCTAAATTTCTAACTGCTCATTTTTGTTTTCTTACGGAGATGATCGTTCAGGGTTATTATTTAGTCGTACTTTTATCTGTACTTGTTGGATGTGCGTAGATAGTTATTTTTAATGATATTTTTATTTAGAACGGATTTTTTGTTTATAAGCAATATTTTAATTGTTACAAAATTTCCAAGGATGACCCATTGGACATTGGTTTCTCCATTCGATTTGTAAGACACATTATCTGCTTGATAAGTTGATTTACATCCAATACCAATAAGTAATTTATAATACGCCTAATTGGTAACATTTTAATTTTCAAACATACTTATTTTGGAGTAGAATTTCCACCGAAGGTGCCTACATAAAGTTTCATTACACAGGGTTATAATAAATTAAAACACTAATAAAATTATTTATCATAGTAATATCATCAAAAAAATATTTTTAATAATACACCACCTATTTAGATTTATTATTCAATAATATTGTGTTCTCATAGTATAAATTTAAAATTATTGAAGAGAATTAAATTAAATTAACCATATTGCACATGGATATTTACATAATTTGTAAATTTATATTATGGGCATTTGAAAAATAAATATAATATTAAATATTTTACATTTTAAAATATTTTTAATTAATATCTAATGAAAAAACTTTTCGAAATATTAAAAGAAAATACTCAATTAGGTAATTATATTTAACCAAATAAAGTCTGAAATTTAGTATATTTGTAGTACTGAAATAGGCCTTATATGTGCGCAGATCTTATAATTGCATGCGTAATAACAGTACTTATATATAGTTTATTATGTGGACACGTGTAAAAGAATATGTACATTGTAGTATATACTATATAGTGTACACCTATTAGCAATGTAAATTTTGATAATTGTACTGGAGCAATTCCAACAACTAACATAGTTAACGAGTGTTAAAGGTTTTTTGTATCTTATCGTTATTCACAATATCACACGATATTTGTCAAAACTATTTTCATACTGCAATTTGTTCTCAAGATAAAATATGTTTCGTTTTATTTTTTTAAATATGATATTTTTATACACGTTTATATAATTTATTAACTAAAACATGTATAAACTTCTTTTTTGTGGTAAAAAATGTTCATTTACAAATGCATTATTTCTACAGTAGCGTATGTAATGATTCAAATATTTTTATATGGAGCATAACGAATGAAAAATTCAGTCAATTCTTCTAAAAATATAGGATTATCATAAAACTCAAATTTAAATTAGAGTTTAGAAATTACAGAGATTTATACAATGTATAACTTGCACCTAGTCAAATTATATTTTCATTAATTCCAACTGAAAACCAACTATTTTTATGCTTACATATAATTCAAAATAATTAAATACAAAATAACCATTTTTGCTATAAAATGAGTTATATATTATTTAATTGAACCAAAATAATTAGTAGTTCAATCATTCTTCTTTGTGTAAATATTCTTTTTGTTTTGATTGAGATTTTATAGATTCAATTATTATTTGTATACTAAATATATGCAAAAGTAACTACTTATTAATTATTATAGATGAATTTTGATTGTTTTTGTTGTTGTTGTCAGATTCTTGTAAAGTTCTTAAGTTTATTTATGTCTTTATAAAATATATGAATATATTATGTGAACGGAAGTTCATAATTTTGAGTCATCAGAAGACGATTAGGTATACGATGTAGGAGGAAACCATAGTGTTTTAGTATTGTGTATCGTACATTTGTACGTATATATTATTTCAAGGATTGAAGACTGCAAGTGTCAGTCGTTTAGTCCATATTTTGTACGCAAGAAGGCGCATTGTCGTAGAAATACGAATTGATTTTAATGCAAATTAATGTTTTGTGAAAATGGGATTCTTTTATCATTAGTTTAAACGTAAATGCTTAATATTTATCAAAATTTGAAAAGTTTTTTCTTTTAAACTCAAATTAAAAATTAATTTTCTCAAAATTTTGTAAACTTAAAATATATTGGCTTTGCTGTTCTTAATCAAAAAAAAAAAAAAAGAAAGGGCTCGACATCCTAACTTAAAAATGTTGACTTCTTATTATACATACATGATCTATAAATTAGTAATTGGTTGGTAATAATTTGTTACCAAAAAATAAGAATTCTTTACCTAAATGACTTAATTGATACTTAAATAGTAATATTTATAGACTATATTAAATTACTGTATTAACAGATATACGGCGCATAATTAAAGTTTTAATTCAATTTTACACTAACAGCAATATTAAACCTATGGTTAAGCTAAATAATTTTGGCACGTCTTGACGGACGATTTTGAATAATATACAACGATAATAAACTCTCGCTTCATCAAAATAAACCTCAAATTGATATTGACGTACATTTTCTTGTTGTAATATGTCCCGGATTGTTATAACTTAATTAAATTCTTTCATTATGCTCTAAGCAAATTGTAACTTGTAAGGCTCATAGTATGATATGTTAGCTTTGATTTTATAGCTATAAAGTTTAATAAATCAACTGACTTAGACCCACACACACATTATATCTCTGGGCATAATGGCATGTGTAGTTACTAGTTTGGAGTGGAAAATACTCTTTGATTCAGAAAGTATGTTCTAATAAACTGATGTCTCGTTTGTTGTATGTTTTAGGATTATGGCGCTAAACTTGTTAAATCTTTACACACTGACGTTCGCATTATTTGTGAAAATCAACGACATGGTAAGTGTATATTAACCCCTTTAATGTGTTAATTATTCGTTGTCAAGTGAATTTGTATGTATGTTATATAATATACATATAGTCACGATTGAATACCATTTGCATACGGAAAATTGTCAATAGTACCCATAGGATTGCTAATATATTCAGACTGTTATTTTTTTTTAACTCTGTAAAATCGATTATAACTATGTTCTACCTACCTACCAACAACAAGAAGAAAAAAAATTTAAAAAAAAATATTATAATTTTATTACTTAATAAGATTTTCTATGTCATGCATTGATTTTTAGTACGTTTAAAGGAATATTCGACACTAAAATGCAACCTTTTCGGTAACACATTTTAATTATATCAAAAATACCACGATATAGTTTTCATTGGAACGGTTTTATTAAGAAAAGTTACAATTTTAACTATCCACGGTACAAATTCTTTATTTCATAAATATATAATTTATGTATTTTTATATTATACATTTTAAATTTTAGATTTTAGTACACAGTTAATCAGTTTTTTTATATTTAAAATGTCTTGCTATTGTATAGATAAATTTAATGGATGAATAATATTTTTTTCGAGTTCACAAATTGTGCATACTCGTATTATTATACCATAAGTTGATTTATTAATGAAACAATAATTAAATTGCTTTAAAATATACAGTAATAATAATAATAATAATAATAATAATAATAATAATAAATAATATAATATTGATATTTAGATGAGGTATAGATCAGGGAGATGGTATGAATAGCAAAACTTATAGTTTGTTGGACACCTATATTTTAATGTATAATGTATACGTAGGTGTATGTCAGTATAATTTTCTCATGCACATGGCACATGGTTGATAGTATCATTTTTTTAAAGAGCATTATACATAGTATATATTATAAATAGTACTCCAGTTGTTTAAAGTGTATGTAAAAGTGTACGTGTCTCAAACGACCAAGTGCTTTTTAGTATACATACAGAATATTCGGAATGATTAAATTTAATAATTCGTTTAACATAATAAATATCCTCTAAGGGTGTAATACCTATACGTATAATATAAAATGGGACGAATATAGTTAAATATGCTCTGTGGGGACGAGATTTAATACAGAAATAACTTAGAATTATCGAACCGTGGACATTGGTAGTATTAAAATATAATGTATTATTCTATTTGTTTCACTTTTTAATATTAGTTTATCTTTATACAATACTACAATTACTCATACATTTTTTAAGTCAAGTATAAACGTTAAGTATATAAGATCTAGTATAAATGTATCACATACCTAATATACTTATTTAAAAACAAAACATTGTTATACTTACTCACAAGTCGTAAAAAAAATTTAATACAAATTAAATATATATATTAGGATCAGGTACTATTAAGAACTAATACTTGTAATACTAAAAAGCATATGAACATTTTGTAAAAAATAAAATATTTGAATAATAAATCATTCAAATATTAAATTTGTCTTTTCTCAAACTACAGCTTTTACATAATATGGACGAACATAAATGAAACCCTTAATTAATGGTAATATAACTACAAATTTATCTATGTATTTTAATGTGAATCGGTTGTTTTTTAGTGTTCAAAGAGACTAATAATTTGAAAAACTGTTAGAAAAAAAAGTAATTTATTATAATATTGCGCGTACCTAATGAAAACATCAACATTTAGACGGAATTACAAATAAAACACATTTCGTGTAGAGTGGCAGGTTCAGTAAATATTATATGCATTGCTTTTCGCTAAAAGAGAATACCACGAAATAACAATAAACTCATATTCGCATTCGAGATCACGATTAAGGTTCAAGGAAATTTAATACTCTCTGAGTCTGGGGGCTGGAAATAATAGATTTAAAATCAATTATCTACGTTGTTATTAGTTAACATGATGACTGACGAGGAACTAAATATTTTCAAAATAATCAATAAATTATAATGATCTTTTCAACGTTTATATTAGAACAATATAAATTAGATCTGCCCTGCATAAATATTTTAATATTACATTATTACCTACAGCTGAATTAATTAATAGTTTCATGATAGTTCTATTCATAGAAAATTCTTGCTGTCCAGTATTTAAAAAAAATATGTATAATTATTTAATAAAGATTCATACAAGCCACTATTAAAAGTGGGTACAAAAATATTAAGGTTGTTAAATTGTGTATGGGATTTTAGATTATTGCTCTGTATAATATCAAAATACACGACGGAATTGTACATCCTTACAGAGTAAACTTTCCTAGCTTGTCTAATTCCAAGGAACAATTTTTTTCTTATTTGAAATTAACCTTAATAATAATAATTTAAAAAATATATATGTAAGTTATAATATTAAATCAAATATATTATATTATAAGAGTATGTATTGTACTAATTCATATTTTCATTTAAAGACAACTGCACTGTTATACTTACGTTTACGTGTTACAGACAAAGGAGCTATTAGTGTTGAAATCCAATGTATCCAATATCACGGCCACTGCGGCCACCATGGCTACCATGGCCACCACGACGTCTTTGTCGAAGACGACGTCGACTACTTCGGTATTGGTTGCGTTAGCGTTCATGAATTCCACCATGTCGAACACAACGAAACTTCAGTTGCCCGTAGCCCCTACGATCGCTACCCAACCGAATTGCTTCCGACAGGAGATAGAATGTCCGTTCTCATTTCCAGCTGTTCGAAACGTTCCAGCCGACGTGCATCCAAAGATGGTTGACAATTCCGTACCTTCATCACCACTGCAATTGATTACCACTGGGGCCGACTTGACAACGGTGGTGGATTTTGGTCACACTTCGGACTTCAGTCGAACTACAAGTATTTTCAGTGTGAATCGGAATGGCACCGGATGGACTGAAAGTACAACTGAAACGACTATCAAGACCGTCGATGATTTACGAATAACCGCTGAGGTCATATACTACGATGAGACATCTTCGTCCGAAGATACCTCCACTACCACCGAGTCTGACGTCAGGTATACGCACAGTTATGACGAGACGATGGAGAATTTGACTGTGGGTCTGGTCACAGCTGAGTCGATGACGGAGATTTCGACCATGGACCTGGTCACTGCTCAGTCAACAATTACGAGTTCAACGGACGTTTCATTCGACTTTACTTCGAACACATCCGAATTGATATCAAGTTCCACAGAAAGTACGTTAGGTGAAACTATACCGAGTGAGTCTGTAGAGTCAACGACGAGCGTGGTCACTGAATCAACGGAAAGTCTGGACGCAGTCGTGTTAATGGCGAACACGACGATTGATCAATCGACAATCACTATAGATGACAACGATGAGCCATATAGTACGATTTCGTCTGACGATCTTCAGTTTTGGCCAACGGACGAGATGAATGCGTCGTCTAAAGAGAGAAGAATCGTAAAACGGATGTCGGAAGTAATTTTCAATGGGACTCATTGCTTTCAAATAGTTTGTTCACCTCCATCACCGGTTATAAATGTAACTGAGGTGCCAAACGGTTTTCAAGGATTTAGCGAGGAATCGAGTAAATACCAAAGCGTATACTCGTATACATATATATGTGTACTGTATATATACTAGATAGCACAACGTATATGTAGTTGTGGTCGATGTCAATTTGTGCCCTGGAATTCTATAGAGACTATTACATTTCTACGAAGGACAGTAATTTAATCAAACATCTAACATATAGTTACGTTGATACGCATAATAATATATATAGTACGCAAAATGCATTATATAACGGTTGTAAATAATTCATACGAGTACGGAGTAATAATTTCAATCCACATGATCACATAAGATGTTATGATCACTAGTGAAATAAATTAAACAATTAATACACATTTTAACATTAAAAAAAAACTTAATTTAATACTTCAAGAAATGTATAATTACTATTAAAATGATTGCTTTAGTCATACTTATCTATTCAATTGAATAATTCAAAGTACCTTCCTATAATTAATAATATATACTCATAGTAAATCCTAACAAATAAATTATATCTAAAATGTTTCTAAGCTTTTTTTGAAATGCATAATACTAATACTTTAGGTGCCGGTGTCAGGATATAATGTGAGTACGAAAAGTTTTTCCTACCAAATGTCCAAATGTTTGATGATTCGCATTTCTTTCATTATACCATTATAGTATAAGTATTTTGAAAAATACTTATAATTCATTGTAATCATAATATTCATCAATCATCATCAATTTAAATCTAGGATTAAACTAATATAAATATAATCTTATCAAATACTTTACTTTTAAATACATTTTTTTAGCTATTCGATTTAAAAAAGTTGGGATATTACTAAAGTGATACATTTTGTAGCGTTGAATTGTATTTTATAACAAATGAGTTAAAAATATGTAGTCATTTAACTGCAATTTGGTTTATATAAAATAAACCCACTATGATTGTTGTATAGGCGAAGCGTATGCTGCAACAACGGAACATGAAGATGCGCCTAGAGAAGACTTATCACTTCGAGCCACTTGTTTGAATCTTCAAATCAGGCGACGATTGCGGAAGTTGTGTTGGGAGACAATGTTTGGACAAGAGTTGGTAAAACTTACAGTCATGGATTTGGTGAGCATAATTAATAATAATTGTAACAGAAATTGTTGTTTGTTAAGCCATTCCAGAATAATTCTCTAGTATGTCTGCTATGTAGTTTTTACACTAGTTGACAAAATACGAGTATGTGCGATTTCAGACAACTGAGTATTTGAACACATTCTGCTTTTTAAATATTTGAAGTTAACAAGTATACATTAAGACTTAGTTATAACTAATAAGTTTGTTTTCTACCTATATACGAACTATCGCGTGCCTAATAATTATAAATGGAATACATTTGAAAAATGTATATTTATAATACTGTAAATAAATATGAAATATAATTGTTTATTGTATATAAAAATGCCAAAAGATAACATTTAAAATCGATTTTGAATTAAGAAAAAAAAAATTTACTATTCATAAGTTCAAGTATAATTTTGATAACAATTTTAAGTGATTAGTGGTAATTTAAATAAGTGGTTGGTACATAATGCCTTTTTCACTCAGACAATTCCTAGCTTGCACTATACCTATATATATTTATCTTAAAATGATAAAATGTTATGTGCATGTTTTGTTTTACTAACTGCAATAAAAGAAAAAAATAACGCTAATACGTACTTATATTAAAAAAATCATCCTTAAGATTATCTTAGATTGTTTTATCTGTTTGACTGTTAATTTAAATCTGAGAGAAATAAGTTTTTCACTGGAGAAAAATATTTCACGGAAATTAGATTCGACTTTTTGCATTTCAGATTAGTTTTTATTTGTTTCGCCTGTCTTGTCACAAGTATCTTGCGGTTTTTTCGTTGTTTACGTATATTTCTTAAGTTACCTGTTTTCCCGTTTGATACAGTTGGCTGCACAATTTCATTAATATTTTATTCATACCCAGTTCTTGTTCATACCCCTTAAATTTAACGTTTTCCAAGCTAATAAATAATAATTAAGGGTTTGTGTGTTTAACCTTAATTTTTTTGATGTTTATAATCAATTCATATATTTAAAATCTTACTATTATGGATATTTTCTTTGTGTGAAATTGTCGAATCTTGACAAAAATAATTAGATAGCAAAGCAATTAGAACATTATAATCGTTGATAACACACTTTTTCACAATACTACTTATCATAATGATATAACTTATATAGTAGTTTTATATATGAATAAAGATTATTATTTTCCTACCATAACCAGAATACCTATTATTACAAAATTTCCAAAGTATCATCGTGTTCAATAATCATAAGTTGCACGTTTCATTGTTTCTTTTTGATAAATGTATTACATACCTAGTACATAACACTATTATTAAAAAAAAGTGTTTGGGGTATTGTATAATAATACTATATTTTGATGGTTACAAGTTAAAATACCTCTGTTCAAAAAATCCCGATCAAAGTAAATTTATAAAATAATAAATTTATCAAAAATACCTACGGTAAATTCATTTCCTGAAAAAAACCGTTTACAATAAAATGTTACTTATCAAAAATATCCATCTGTATAATATTAAAATAAAATGGGAAGGTTGAAAAATAATACATTATAATATTAACCATACAAAATATAATGATGGTCGATAGACTGATATAACTCATATAAGTATAACTTAACAAATAATTCATATTGGAACATAATATATATCTACTAGGACGTAAGTACTTAACTATTATTCATTATTCCACTCTATTATATGATAAAACAGCTATCATATAAAGACTATAAATATAATATCGATGCGAAAGAGAAACCCATCTAATAATTAATACATTAAATGATTAGATAGAGTGATTCAGAAGATCACTGATTATTTTAGAATTTTATTCTACCTATGTAATTATTGTTTAGTTGTAAGTTATGCATTTACAATCGATTTTGAACAAATAGATGCGGCCTTCCGTTTATGTGAGTGGTCATTTATACGTAGCTTTGAGTACAAAACAATTATTTAACACTCATACCACAATAATATAATATATATTTTGTATAACAATATACCTAATTATATCAGGATAATTAAAGGTATTATCCGACTACAACAAAATGGATAAGAACCTCTTTCATTCCACTAGATTTCTAAAACAACAATTTTAGTTAACCAAAAGCAGTAATTGAATTAAATTTTATTTATACGGGCTTATATTATAATACTTTAATATATAATCTTGATTTATTTAAACAACATAATATTATGAGTACCTAATTATTAAAGTTGAATCGTATTTCTGCAATGTATTTTCTTTGAAAATGTTTATAATCTATAATATATAATATATATAGCTGATAAACTAAGTTCTGACCACTTAAAACAAATTTAGCAGTGTAAATTCAAACATGAGTGCAAAACACGAATTCATAAAGGAATTGACAGTTAAGAATTACTGAAACGCATTAATGAACAGTGAACATGCAGTGTGCGGACACTCATGATTCGGAGGTTGCAAATTCAAGGCGATGGTTGCTATTAATCGTTTTAAAAATAGAGCGGCTGAAGCCATGCAACATCAACATCAATACTGTAATCAACGAAAGTATTTTTGGATTATTTGACGTGGCTTAGGTAATACCATTGTTTTAGTTGGTTGACTAAAATGTATTATCGTTGTAGAAGTTGGCATGCACGTGGTTTATCATCGTTTTTTTATCGATTTCGATGACGATGACGTCGGATAATCCTAAAATGTTTTGAAAAAATGATATTGTTAATAATAGTATATAATATGTTATAACAGCTGCGTCCATTTGTCCCTGTTCTTTTACATAGTCATATCTTTTTTTTTACAGAAAGACATTTTTGCTCAGAAATATTTTGACCGGTAACTATGCATGTGGCGCATGAAATACATTCCATATTAATAATAATAACAATATACATTACGAATTTCGATGTATATCAACCAATTTTATTAGGGTGCATCTGTCATCGTTTACAGAGTTACAGATTTGCATATATTTGATTCCAGAATGTGAATAAAGACTAATGTCCGTCAGTGTGTTATACCGAGCAAACACATATTATATGACTATTTTCAAGCTATTATAGTATATGCACAAGATATTTCATCCCGTTGTAATTAATTGTGTGGTACATATTGTGTTACGCCACGAAGAACAATAAGAATTTATATTTTAAAATATGTTACGCCCTAGTAAAACGTTTACCTGCAATACGTAGTCAATAATCTATCTATTGATATTTGATATTACATTGATAAATAATTCGTCTATAATATTTTTATTTGACTATAAGTATTAATGTAATATTATTATGACTAAAATTGTATAGTAATATTATGATCCAGTTAATTATTCAATAGAAAAAATAAGAGTACCTTCGTGTCCACGAAAACAGGGTAGGGGTACACAGCAAAAGTGAAGTTGTTGTACTCGAGTCAAATGCAATAGTTACACAGTTTTAAGTTAAACGGACTTATGATACAATAAGTTTAGTCTCATGCCCCGCTATTAGAAGAAAAAAATATGTATAGGGAACCTAGTGAGTAATATAAGTAACCGAGTTACAGATTACCCCGTTTTTGTGGACATGCGGTACATAATATAAGTAATTGCGAAGTCCTTCCTAAACGTTTAATAATCTCCCCCCTACGAAAAACCTGAAGATTTTCGAAGATCACGGTATGGACCAGAGCCTTAAGCTATTTTAACACGATTTGCGCTTAGGTGTATAATATTTATATATTATATACATAATGAATTACCTGCTTATATAGTCTTACTTATTTAAAACAAAGGTTTAATATCGAAACAGCATCAGTGTTCACAAATTTAGATTTATAATAATGTATTTGAATAATAATGTGAAGTTTCGTCAAAGAAGCCATAAATTATATGATCTTCACAATATTAATTGCACTGAAACTTATTTGAATAATTATTATTGGAGTCGAAGTTATAATAGGCAGCGCTAGCGTGTAGTAAATTGAACTATAACTAAACCATAAAATTGGATATCCATAAAGTTAACGAGTAGGTAGTGTTAAATAAGTATTTACGTCAAATCGATATTGCATATTTGTGTTCATAACTGATATTTGAGACTACATATTATGAGGGAGGTTCATACAATTTGAAAGCATATTAAGTGCGCTGTACCTACTCTAAAAATATTATATATTTAGGTTATCTAATATTGCATATTTTAATAATTTAGATGTACTACTCAGTATATTTTTTCGAAGGTAAATCAAAACCTTTTCAGTGGCCTTATTTGACCTTAGTAAAAAACGTGTTCTGGGGTCAAGCGTCAGCTGGTATCACCAGTTCCTGGACTGGTGACCACTCGGGTTCGCAAATCCTCGCCACATTTAATACACGTGGTCTAACCAACCGTATCCTCCCCCATAGTTAAAAATCTACTAAATAACCTTTAGGTCATAGATTTCGAAACCTTAACTCAATAAAAACAATTTTCATACAATTTTTTTTTTTATTTTTTTTATTTGAATTAAGCCTTGGCAACTATGGCCATTGGCAACAAAGAGTTTAACTCTAAATTTTTTACATAATATATGTTACATATTAAATATTATTGATAAGGCTGGATTTAAAAATAAAAGTTATCATGTGTTTTATGTTGTCCGGGTGGAGGGCTTCTGACAGAATGTTTGAGATGCCTGATTCTCGTCTATCCGTTTCGTATGAAAGGCATTCAGTTAAGATGTGTTTGATTGAGAAAGGAGTACCGCAGCTGGCACATAGGGGTGGGTTTTCATACAATTGTTATTAGATTAAAAAGTTATTTTAAATCTAATCTTACAAAATATAAATGATTTTGAATTTAATACTATGAGATTTTAAATATATACAATAGTTTTATTTTGAATCTTTTATACTTCTATTGATTAAGCAATATGAGGCCCTTTGTACCTACTAGATTTGATTATTATGACGTCACGCTGCAAGTATGAATATTATGTTTCTAATTATAGATTGGACGTACTAACTCCTAAATATTGTAATTATGAAGTACCTATGTATATGAAGTGTATTATGTATCGTAAATTAACGTTTATGATAACATAAATGAAATTTATAAAATTATATTATGAGGAACTGATTACATATTTAATAGCTAGATAGCATTGATATAAGATCTATAAAACTACATTAGGGACCGAGAAATACTGTACGACTGAAGAATTTATAGATTTTTTAAGCTTAAAATTATGAGTAAATTTACGGGGTCGGTTAGAATAAAGTTTCAGATAAGCTGTGCGTACCATACATATCACACGTGACCTGGGTGGGATGAAACGACACGAGATAGTGAAATGACGAAACCTTAACATTTGGACATGTATCAGCAGGATTTATAGTTTCTAAACAAAATATTGTTAACTCCGTTGGTTTATTTTGAAAAGCGTGAAATGCATACTGAGATAATAAAATAATAATAATAATAATAATAAATACAACTGTACAACTGCTGAGGGATAAATTTTATTATAAATGACGTAGGTACATATCAAACATACTAGATAAGCTGATTATAATTTTATAGTATGCGTGCGTAATTCATATATTTTATATAATATATATTATACATTTTTTAAATTTATAACGTACTTTATACGATAACCAACATTTATTTTCTTAAAAAAAAAACAACATTTGTGATTGTAATAACTGTATCAATATATCATCCTGTAAAAATATAAAGTCATAAATTAAAAGCAGTTTGTCGTGCTTACATTGAGTACATTGAGATTGAATACCATAATGTTATTATTATTATTAACTGGAACTTCGTAATTATTTCACACTCAATACTCAACAGAATCTTTATTATTGTCACATGTGAGGTGGTGAGAGACTCAATAAATGAAAGATAAATTCCCAATCCCAGCCAGTGATTGCGGTGTCCAATCACAAAACATTAAGTGACTGCCTCGATTCGTCCTTTTAGAGGAACAATAAAACAAATTGGTGGATTGAATCATTTAGACCAAAGAACTAGGTTTGCAATTTTGAAATTAACAACTATTTAATTACTCCACTTAAGTTACCACTTATCAAGTTGTTGACCATTGACCAATACTGCAATATCTTTATTTTGTGTTACAACATACCGTTGTCTGCATTTAAATTGTATATACTTATAGATAAGTACTTATTTTTTATGTATATTATTTTATTTTAAGTAGTTTTGACTTGTGAGGTTATAATAATATATTAATGTTAAAAACACTTTACATAAATATATTGTTTCTTATTGTTTTAAATATACAACATGTTTAAGTTAAATCAAAAAATAGTATACGATTCAAGGGTTGCGTTTACCAAAACTGAGATAGATTTAAGGCGTATAAAATATTTGCTTGATTATACATTTTATTTTTTATAAATCTTTTTGGAAATTTGAAAAAAATAGCTCTGGGCACTAAATATATACCTACAACTTTTGTTTAATCTTCATTCCATAAGGTGTAACACGATGAGCTTTTTACTAGGTACCTCAAAAAGTATTCTCCAAAGAATAAAACAATTTGCATTTGAACCAAATAGATTCCTTGCTCCTCTCGGAATTTTAAAATTTCAATGTGTATTTCTTTTCGTATCATTCTCTTTTCGATAAGACAACTTTTATTGGGTTGACTTGGACACGAATTCAATATGAATATTTAACACCTCCATGCTTGGGACCCGTGGCGATATACCTATATGTTTCTTTTTTATTTTAACATCTGTTGAAGGTAGAGTATTTGAGTTTTAATATACATGAATTGCACAAGTGTGGTAAAAAACTATATAAGTAAAGTGTTACACCACAAAATCAATTGTCACATGAAATCCTATATAAAAAAAAAAAATAGCAATCGAAAACCTTTTAATAATTTATCTTAATAAAAACACTGTAACATAGAAAAATATATTTAAATCAACAGTTGTTCTCGGAAAGATTTTAAAATGTAAATTCCACGGACCATTGAATAGTTAATAATACGCACTACACATAATGTTACGTAGGTAAGTAAACTTTTATTTCACCGATTCTAAACAATTTTGATATTTTAGAGCAAATAAAGCTGAAATTGTGAACCTCTGAGTAAATAGAATACTTAATAGGATTCTCCAACCATAAACTGAATGAACGTAGGTCAAGGTTTCGACATTCATTCGTTTTAATTGTTTTTTTTATTTATTGACTTCAATTTCGACTGTTTTAAAATAGGTACAAATAGGTAAAGAGTGGATACATATATTTTATATAAGTTTTCTACAGTCAAACGAGATATATTATATTATAGTTTTCGCTTAGAAATCTTACAAGTGCATAGTATAATAAAATATAATAAATACACAAATTTGTGGCTTATGTACTTTTATAATTTTGTATTGACTTTGTGTCGTTTTAGGAAAATAAAACCTCCTTGGAATGGCTGGTTGCATACATTTATACAAATAATCTCACGCTCACAATATTTTTTTGAATTTTTTTTTTTCATGACGTTATTTATATAAGTTGTGTTCGATGAGAACATTTTTTTTTTAACGCACGAGTGTTCATACACGTGTCAAGTATGCACGTGTGTAAAAAGTAAAAAACAAAAGCGTGTTCGTTATACATTATATCAATATATAATAATACGTATGAAGGACGGAATATAACAAAAAATATGAACGCATGCGAATCTATACAAATATTATTTATCACGTGATTAAAAGTGACGAGGGTATACCATAATTATTATTGAGCTCTTCAAAAAATAATCCGTACGATATATGATGTGATAAACCATTTGTTTCCTCGAAAAGTGTTTGACGTAGAGAACATAGATTTGGTAGACACATTATTACAATAATTTAGGTTGAAAGAACTTTAAAAACCTGATAATTTTATATTTAGTTACTTATATGTTTTATTTGAGTTTAATAATGATTTTAATCACTATTTATTTTAATATATTTGAATACTTGTGTTAAAAATTTTAAATTGCTGTATTAATTTATTATTTAATATTCACCTTTATCCCGAATGTTAAATTATATTTAACCGTCGATGTAAAAATGTGTTTAGTTTCACTATCTGGGTCGGTAAACTGGGAAAATATTGTTATTTAAATACTTGTGCCAAAATAAAATTATTAAAATATTAATTGCATTTAAGACATGGGTCTGAGACCGAAAAAAGGTATATGAATATATTTAGTGAGTTTGGATAGAATTTTTGCTTTACGTTTTGGTTTATATATTTTGTATTAATTTTTCATATTTGTACATTTATGGATTGTTTTTAGTATTGAATACAGATTTTAATTTCGAATGATGTTACACGATGGTTTTTTGACTGCTTTAATTTGTGTTTAAACTTGTTCAAGTCTTTTAGACTCCTAAGTGATTTAATCCAACTACCAATTTAAAACAAGCTGTTTACTATTATTTTTATAAGGTGTCGACGATTATTTCGACGATATTCGTGGACTTTGCGCGTGCCGTGTTCGTGAGGTACATGAACCGGTGCTGGTGCTGGAACCTAGAGAAGCGGTTCCCGCAGTATGGTGATTTCAAGATCGCCGAGAACATATTGCACTTGGTCAACAACCAGGGTATGGTGTGGATGGGCATGTTCTTTTCTCCCGGACTGCCCATCATCAACGTGGTCAAGTTGATGATCATGATGTACGTGCGGTCGTGGGCAGTCCTCACATGTAACGTGCCACACGACGTCGTGTTCCGGGCCAGCCGGAGCAACAATTTCTACCTGGGCCTCCTGCTCACCATGCTGTTTTTGTGCGTGCTGCCAGTCGGCTACGCCATCGTGTGGATCGAACCATCTTGGCACTGTGGCCCGTTCTCTCAGTACAAGAAAATCTATCACATCTTCACCAATTCGATCAAGAAGGCCGTGCCCAACCCACTTGTGCACCGAGTCCTCGATTACATAGCGTCACCGGGAATCGTTATACCGCTGCTGCTGCTTCTCATCCTCATCATATACTACTTGGCCTCGCTCACGTCTTCACTCCGGGAAGCCAACAACGACCTAAAAGTAAGTGAAACCACCCGGCCTGCGTCCAGTATGGTGCTGGAGAGTCGAAGTTAAATAATATTACATAAAGTAATGTGTTGTGCATAATTAATGATAATCGCATAAAAAAAAAACTGTAATGAAATGCGAATGTTATAATTCCAATTTTCAACAACGAAGTAACTTAGTGAATTATTTTAGTCTTAGAATTAATATTGGTGCTTCAGTATTATGCCAAGATATAAAATAATATTATTTTTCAACCAAGTACCTAACCAAGGACTAAAAAAGTTGTACAGCTCAAAAATGATTTTAGTGACGTTGTAGGTGAGTTATGGATCCGGAAGTAATTCTTTTGTTTGGTAAAGTGGAAGCTACTTTTTCAAACTTTGAAGCCATTATACATTTTTAATACAAAGTTATGGGGAAGCAAAAACAAAATCCATTCCAAGCAATTCATTGATGTTTATATTTTTTTCAATACTATGTATCTACATTATAAATATAAATATTATTTTTGGAGCTAGGTCCAAGAATTTAGGGTGATTGAGGCAATTAACGAGGCGTTGTCTCATTCCATATATTGAATAGACAGGTACTATTATAATAATATATATATATATATAAGCTCGAAAGTATGACAATGTACTAATGTAGGTTAATGCACTTTACGTTGGGAAAAAGCAGCCAATATCATAGATCTCGGTATGCAGAGTCGGTGGACAAATATATACATATATATATATATTGGATAAAGTTTCTTTAAAACATAATATTAATTTGATTATGAATTAGTAACTTGTTATTATTTTTTCAGGCATATTATATGACACAAAATAACTCAACGATACAAAACGCCAGTAGGTGTATAACATTTTTTTATATGACCATATTATATTTTATGTTTATAAAATGAATGGCTATAAATATTAACTTTTAATGATATTATTATTTTGAACCCTTCTTGGACTTATCATAATATAAACTTATATTCTAAATGTTATGAAATTAAATATTATCAAGAAGTCATACCCGCACATGCTGTACTGTTGTTTCTGTCTTAGAAACCTGCACGTGTCACAGTTAACGTTCAGAATAATTCACTTATACCTATTTTATTTAATATTAAAGTGAATTGTTCTATAATTAAATTTAAAGGGAAGAATATTATCCAGGGCCGGGCCCCACATGGAAAATTTGTTTTTATATTTTGAAGTAAAGCTTAAACATTTCAAAAAATATAGGTATTAATTATATTCTTACCTTTGAATTTTATAATACATGTATTAATTTATTCTAAATAATAGGTACTAAATATTATAAAGTTAAATTTATCCGTATTTATTAATTATTTTTTTAAATAAAAATCAACAGACCGCGAATAACGCAAATATTTTATCAAGGAATAACTTGAATTTTACAAGTTTTTCTAAGATACACGTACATACAATATGTATGTACCTACCTACAATAAATTCTAAATAACCTTAATTGTTTTATAACTATAGAAATAGTGTATGAATAACGGTATATTCCCACTAAAATAGGGCTACAATAAGGAACCTGTGAATAATATATGTAGTAGGTACCTACCCAACATTATTGTGTGCGGCTTACTTCGTTACCTACATGCGCCGTCCTCGGGGCTCGGATAGTAATCTAATGGGAAGGGGCGACGTGTTTGTCCAGACCCTAAAATTATGTAGCTCACAAATAATATAATATTATAATACCATTTTGTTTATAAAATATACTATACACCAATAAGCAATAATAATACACTACCAAAATCCTTCCGCTGGAATTATTTCGTATCACTGCCCTCCAGCACACCACTATTAATAATAAGTACGCACTCGTGAGTCGTGGATGGCGATGTGAAAACGGTTTTAACCGAGAATTGGGTTACACGATAGGCGAGAAAAAAAGACCGTTGACGACTGTATTTCTTAGACTTTTTTTAGACTTATCTAGACTCTTCAAGTCTTTTGCGATGATCAACACTTGACACACTCGCCAACTTCACTCTAAATCTATTATTAAGTCGAGAAAAATCGGAAAAAGTGAAGGACGCAAAGAAAACGACTGACGGTCATCGTTTTAATTCCATGAAAACTAACTAATAACGAAAAATATTATTAGCTTTGTTAGTTTACCTTAAACAATGTGAACTGCGATTGTCGAATTGAAACCGTGGTCAATATGACCGACTTTATAATAACTCAATTGCTATTGAAATCGGTTTAAGTAACTCACAATCAGGTAACGGCGATATCTTCTACTGTCCTGCCTAAATGGGAATCTGTGGCCACCAACTGTAACACTATTTTCGGGTAGCTATTTGCGGGCAAGTTAAGTGTGATGCGCAGTGTGACGACATACTAGCGAAATGAGTTTTTTGTAAACGTATATTATATTATATTTGGGAGCCTCATAATTTCGAGTCCAACGAAACGCGTAGTCCGTTACCCGAAGATAACGAGCTAAGGAAGCGCTTAATGTAGAAGCACATACATTATCATATTATAGGTATTTGTATATTATTTACAGGTTCCTGAAATTATGATGTATCTACTTCCTTGATAAAATCGTCACATAACCATTAAGTATTTAAATTATTTAAACAAATGGTTTCTCATTCCAAATTTTAGATGCATTTAAAAACATTAAATAGAATTTGAATGTTCGTATGGTTGAAGCATGAAAACGAAATTCAATACTGTAGTATTTGTATTAGCCACAAGGTCCAGTGGCGCATGAAGAGTGCTAACGTGGGAGGGGGATCGCTTTAGGTGGTTATTTTATTAAAAAACTCTGGTAAAATTAATTTTAAAATTATAATTCATAAAGATGTTTATAATAAATCAGCACCTTATGGTTCTAAATGTCTCAATACGTGTTTATTATCATCATATGCTAATTATATTTTATTCAGTTTTAATTTAGGTAAACTTAATCATTTTGGACAACCATTCATGGATTGTTTAATATGTGATCAAAATTCAAAACAATGTTTTCACTTGCTTAGTTGGGCTTAAATAATAAGAAGTTTGTCTTATGGAAAGTTTACTCGGTCATTGTAAGGGGGTTATTAATTAAAACAGAAATCTATGCAGACGATCAAAATTCAATGTTACATTTATACAATTGTACATGGACAACTGCTTGCGTGAATTAAAACAATTGTGAATAATATGGAATACAGAATGGTGGAAGAAATCGATTAATGCTCATTGTTCATAGAACACATCATGATAGTATCATACAGCATACGATGAAAGAGTGGAAATTGTGAATAAATTAAGGAATTAACATTGCAAACTTAATAAAAAAAAATTAGCTCTTAAGTTGATACATTAATACAAATTTAAACATTGAACTTCTATTATTGTATAATATAATATACGAGTATGTATATAATAAGTATATTACTAATTTTTTGACTGTAAAATATCATAAATTTACGTTTACACTTCACTCTGCTAACAGAGTGCCTAAATGTTAAATTGAATGCCATTAAAGAATCATTTAAAGATAACATAATTTTGAACCAAGGTTATAAATTAAGTATAAATACTGTAATAACACTGTCTTTGAAATCTTATAAAAGCGCCACTGCGCAAGAGAAATCTGTTCACGGAGAGATAATTTTATGCTATCAAGTATATACGAATGTATGGCACAAATAATTTTTTTATTTTATTAATCAAGTTATACGAATAAATTGAACATTAAAACCTCCCCTGAATCTAGAACTATTGATAAGTGAAAACTGTACTAAAATCCGTTGGGTACTTTTGAGTTATGCGCGTACATACAAAATAGGGGGTTCTATTTTATATAGTAGTATGAAGTATGATATTATATTAATTGAATTAAAGTGCTTTTAATTTAAAAAAAAAGAAAAATATTATACTTACCACCAATGTTAATAGTAATATAGGTAACTATAATAATAATAAAATATTAAATTACAATAAAAATTATAAAAACATTATTATTTCTGGAATAAAAGAACAAGACTTTTTGGGTACAAAGTTAAAAAATTTAAAAGTATAGACTTTAAAAATATGTCGCGTCTATAGCGATATATTTATAATCAAATTTAATTTATAAATTGGAAGCGAAGTAGTTTGAAAATAATAATTAATATCAATTCGTTTCAATAGTACAATGTGTAAAATGACATTAAGTGTACTTGTATACTCCTCGGTCCTCAAACATGAATTATTGGACGCACCATAGCTCCGCATGAATAAAAATATTTTGTGAATCCGTAACTCCGCATGCACCGTATCTCCGCACGGTCGAAAATACAAACGCACCGTATCTCCGCATGGTTGAAAAAACGAACGCACCGTAACTCCGCATTCTAAAAATATTTTAACCCAAAGATGCACGAATTAAAAAAATTATTACATACTTAGAAAAAACATACATAACAAACGATGCAACATTTCCACCCAGTATTTGGGCCAAAAAAGAAGCGACGTTGGAGAGAACTACAAACAACTGTGAGTCTTTTCACGCCAAATTTGGTGATTTATTTACATCAGCACATCCAAATATTGCTGTATTCATTAAACATTTATTAGCTATGCAGACGGATTCTTATATAAGAATGAATTCTGCCAATAATAACGAAAGTAGGATAATTAGAAGAAAACTAAAAAATAATATACAATTTATAAATAAAAAAATCGAATTATATAATAACAACCAAATAGATAGATATAGTTTTGTAAAAAGTTTGGCTTCGTTTAATAATATTTTATTTTAACTTATTTTAACTTACATTATAATTTTAACGATTTTTCGTTGTATGCATTAATTATTATAATTTTTGTTAGATACATTTTATACCGCCAATGACGATTTTTTTTGTATGCATTAATTATTATTAATTTTATATTTTATAATTACCTAGTATTACCTGCAGTCTAATATTATTTTTATTTAACTTTAATAATATGTATTGTATTTTGTATATTTTAAACATTAAAAAAAATATGTGCGGAGTTAGTGTCAAAAAAAATCTTTTATGCGGAGTTAGGGTGTTTAAAAAAAACTTCGTATGCGGAGTTAAGGTGTCGAAAAAAAACCTTGTATGCGGAGTTAAGGTGATATATTATAAAATGGCGACGATCCGTGCGGAGTTACGGCGCACCGGAATTATTAGAGGCGGCTTATTCCCCGTTGCCCTCCCCCCCATTACCTATCAGCACTAGGTGCACAGTCGCACTTAAACGTCGATAAAGACGTGACCGGAGCACTAGGAATCCGATACACCTATGTAACCACCGTCCCCAATGGCTAATAGTAATAATCGTCCCCATGATATTCGCAGACGCAGCTGAGACGCGAGCGGACCGAAGAACGTCGAAAAATGTTTCAGTTAGTCAACAGGAAGAAGCAAGGTGGCGGTGTCGACGACGATGACGACGACGATTACACGTGCATGGACACCACACTGGCAAAGTGGAGACATATAATGCCAGACAGCAAACTGCAGACGGACGTTCCGAGCTCCGTGTTCGAAATCGTGGAGAAAAAGCTCACGGGTAAGACCGAACATGACTGAAATAATACTGATGCTCAGGGGACGCATTTGTATGCTTATTTGGTACTGGAAATCTGTACCAAGTGGCCCATTTTTCTTAATCAAACTGCTATCAAACATATTTCAAAGTTTTCCAGTTTAGGCTTCTAAGCACTCCGTATATTCACGTTGGTTTCCGTCAGTCCGTTAGTTACCTACATAGTTACGATTGCTGTTGTACCTTTATTTTCGATTTTTATTTATTTATTATCAGCACATAGTTACGATTTCTGATATATATCGTTGATTTGTATTTATTTATTGACTGCAGTTACTGTACATAAATTGTAAATAGATGTATAATATTAATTATTGCGTTTTATTAAAATACGTTTAGAAATCTATTATTTAGCACCCTCGCAGGGTGCATTTCTTAACTTGTTTTTGGTATAACTTTAAAATTAAGTGTAAAATCTGACATATTATACGTAAGAACATAGTGGTTAAAATATGAACTTAATCAAACAAATAAGATTTTTAGATTTTAGTGAGGCTACCACTTCCATTTTAAGAACGCGTTAATTTTTTCAAATACTCTCAGATGCAGTGCCTATTCAGACACACATTCAAAAAAAATTAAAAATGGTTTAAGTTAGTACTACATTTGTTTCTTTATTTACACTATGTTAAAAATATGAGCAAATTACGGTAATAACTAGGGCTCGGATTAGTAATAAATACCTCGCGATACCTAATTTCTATCCATCTATTCTGTCATCGATCAAGCAAGAAGATTTTTAAACAATGTACCTCGCTGTTTTTATTATAATTATTGTTATATATTACTGTATTACTTATATGGATCCAAAATCCTTGATATATCAACGTTGCTCGCATTCGGTACAATAAATATAATCTATATATAGTAATAAAATGTGTCAAATATCCGACGAAGATAAAATTCGGCTATTCCTTTGGTCGCGATAGTATGGACTGTGGACATAACAAATACCGATTGTTAACATTTATCACAATATAAAACCATAAACAAAAGGCTCTAATTCTAGATAATGCTCTTGTAACGCTTTTATATTTGTATACACTATATACTATACGCTTCAAAATGTACAACATACACGATTTACCTATTACCGTTGGCGTTCAGTGATAAAAAATATAAAAAGTCACTCTGATAAGTGACGTTGAGATTATTGTAATATAGAGTATAGAGACTATATATAGTGCCATGATTGTAGATAGTATATAATCGTATAGTTATAGACGTATAAAGTACAAATCTGTGTAAGCACCTATAATATATATACACTTCCCACGTGCACAACAATAATACATACAAGAAGTATATACTATGCGCATAGTGGTGGTAGTAGATATATATAGATCAGCGATAAACATAAAATGATAATCGACGGTTCCGCCACGTCCCCGCCCGCCCCCGTTTGTCCGGGGCGTAAATAAAACCCTTATACCAATCCGGTCGCATTTAATAATTCAAAAGACTGAATAAATAAAGCACTCGCGTGGCGGGATTTAGTGAACCGCACTATGCACGTACCTGTATTATAGTTACTTAATGGAGACCGTGTAGTGCGGGTGGTTGTTAATGACGAGCTCTCGCGTCCGAATGGACAAGGCCGATAGTATAATAATAGTTTATCGATCACGACGAACTTGTTTTCCGAAAATTTAATTCATTTTACGAGTAAACACTAGATTTGAGTTCAATAACTACAAATTGTTGTATGAAACAAACTTTAAATGCTCATTATCATTATTAGGCAGGCAATCAAATCAACACGTTTTTCGTTTATTTTCTATTTCCGAATAAATAATAATTATATTATACTATAATGTTATTATCATAATATGATTTAAAAGTTATGGATGGTTTTCTAAATTCTATAGTTCTGTTTCATGATAGTTGATAACATGGATCTTCAATATATAATAGTAATTAACTATCAAATGAATAATTTAAAGTTTAAACTATTAGTGTGATTTTATCGTTGTCAGCCTCTGTCTAGTGAAAAATGTAACTGTTTATATTTTTACTTATGTAGACATTTATTGATTAGTGTCTTAAGTTTCTCTTTTATAATCATTATTATTTAACACATTTTAAATTTGTCACTTCATATTATTATCTATTTTTCTTGGTACCAATATAAAATGGCATTATTCTTCTTATGTATTATTGTAAACAAATAAGTAGGTATTAAAATGTTGTTCCGAAACTAAAGATGTGATAAATTGCAAAATTTAAAATCTAACAGCTTCAAAACCATACACTTCACTTTTATATAATACCATTATGTAATATTAATAGTAATTATATGCATCTATATTTTTCCATAGTATACTTCATAATAAAACTTAATTAAATGGATTAAATTATAAACTGCCAATATACAGACAAACAAGTTAATTACGATGTACCCTAAAAACTGTTGATTAAATTAATTAGCTGTTGGTGATCATATTTTAAAATCAGTAAGTACAGAGAGACGGAAAAAATACATTAAAATATTGAAAATTTGTTTTAAATTTTAAAATATTAAGATTTGCAAAATGTTGATAGTATTTTACTTAAAAAATTAATTTAAAGGTGTTCAGAAATAGTTTGAAAGTAGGTACATTTTATCAAGCTGGGGCAAGTTAATGATAACTTTTAACTGAGTTAAGTTAAGTTGATAGAAAACATTTTAAAAAGTTTAAAGTTAATAATTATCCTATTTTTTTGAAGCTCGGTTAATTTAAAAGTTAAGTGAAAAGTTATAATTTTTTGTTTAATATATTATAAGCAGCTAGTAATATGGTTTAAAATAATAAAAATTAAATGTTTATGCAATATTATATATCAACAATAATAATTTTATTATATTTATTATTTAATTAATTATAAATTAAGGGAATTGGATTTGATTAAAAGTAACTCGTTATTTATTAAGCTTACATCAACAAAAATAAGTTAATGAAAATTAAATTTTGAAAAGTTAAGTTAAAAAGTTAAAATTAACTTAACTTTAACTTTTTAACTCGTTAATGCCCAGGCTTACTTTTTATAGTGAATATAAATTAAAATTCAGAAATGTTTTCAAATAACTAATAGGTAGGTACCAAGCTTAAAATCAATGATAAACCTGTTAACCTGCAAACTCGATTATTATTTATTATTATTGGGATTGATAATAATAGTCCCCATAATAGTCCCCCCGATAATTTTCAAATACAAAAATGTAATAATTATTATGAGTGATAATATATTATATATTATGTACTTTTTATATTAATATAAAACAATTTTTTTTTAATTTATCTATTGTACTTTGTATTATTTATTTATTAAACCGTAATACTAGTCCCTAATTTAAATATTTTAACATTTAATCATCAGCGTTTTACGTTATTCGTATCACACATAACATGCTTTCCATAAATCATCTTACTGATTTCTTAATTTTTTATGTACGAAAACTAAAATTAAATTGTACCTAGTAGCTTATTATAGTAGAATCAAAAGTATTTTTTTAAATATTAAAATAGTTCTATATTAATGATACCTTCTGTCATTTTTGGAAACTGATAGAATAATAAGCTTTTATTTCAACATAGAAAATGAGGTGCTGGACAAAGTGCGTGAGAAACTCGTGCACATGGAAGCAGAGGACCAGCAGCCCGAAAATAAACAACATCCAAGCCGCGAAGATCAACAGCAACAGCAACAGCATACCCAACCGCAGCCCACGAAGCTCCAACGTAATCATCACCACCATAATCCACCTCCACTACAACACCATCACCATCATCACCACCATCACCAGCAGCACCTCTACCACCACCTCCGACGGCCTTCGAGAAATGAAGAATCACGGGACACGGCTGCGACGCTGCGCAAGTGGAAAAAGTCCAATGTGGTCCGGCCTCCGTCGTCTGAGTCCGAGTCGTCGGATCAGTCGGAAGCAGTACCGGAAATCCGTGAAACAGTTGCCGCTGTTTCTCACGTTTCCGGGTCTCATCAAAAGACCACGGCCGCTGAACTTCCGGTAGCAAGCGCTGTCGTTGAAGATGGAAGTCCTGTGACCGCCACTGATCAGCCCGTCAAGCAGAGGGCGAGGCTCAAGTTGGCACAGATATTGTACAAGGAGGCGAGGAGGAGAAGACAAAAATACGTCGAGGAGCTGCAAAATCAACAAGAATAAAATATAGAATACAAACGATTTACAACGTAAGTCTTTTATATGTCACTTATGTTAGTATGATATATATACTTAAAAATAAACGTTACGATTTATAAAAAAAAAAAATTAAAAATTAAACGAAACAAAAGTGTGGTTAGGTTAGAATAATTCAAAATCGAAAATAATATGTTATATTTTATTAGTTAAAAAGATATAAAACACATTTTTACTAATATTATGGTTTTTGGATGAATACCTACGCTTATTATTACACGGACACCACATTATTTGTGCTCAAACTGTCTACGGTAGACATTTTTTTAAATGTGTGCCCAAATCACTAGTGAAATATTATTATACACAATTAACGCAAATGGTTAATTAGTCATTCTTAATATTTATTATCATGTTAAATAATGCATATTACTGATTAGATATTTTAGGAATATTTACATTAGGTATAGGTACCTTCTCATTGTGAGACAGTCGAGGATCGTTTAATTTATTGTTTTTAATGAAAAATTAATTAGAAGAAATTCGATTACGGATTAATCATTCTTTAGCAGTTTAGACAATAACTGATCCAAAAATGGATATCAAAATTTCAGAAAATTGTCACGTCCAATCTAGGATACTAGGACACGATTACCCATAAGCCATGGCTAAGCCTTACTTTATAACCTAGTGAAGTGATGTGTATAAAATTTGAACCATCTTAGGTAATAATTTAAATATTTAATTTAGAGTTGGCTGTGCAGTTTCTAATAAAAATATTTAAATTTGCCAATATAAGATCACGATTTTTGTTGTTATCTAAGTACATGATGTATTAAATATTAATAAATGAAACATTCATTTTAATTTAATTTTTTTGTTTGAACTCATAGTTATGTTAATAAATAAAAAAATATTTACTAAAAAATGTAACACGACGATTTAAGCAATAACGATGCAGGTATGCATTTTTTGAAATAGTTGGTAAAAGTAAAATACGTAAAATGAACAAACGATAATCAGTGATTTGCCACAAATTACATACCTACCAATAAATTACCAAAACCGTTATATCTACATCTGCACGATCTATAATTTCATTAATATTTTGTTTTATGGTTTCAGAGAACATACTATTCGGAAGCACCAGTTGGATTTTGAATTTGTCTTGAAATCTAAGAAAAATCTTACTCATCTATATAACATCAAAATATAAAATACAAAGTATATTGTATTATATTATAATCAAATGATTAGTTTCTTAGCACACCATTGTTTATTGTATGGTTCAGAATTATATTATACTATTAAATATCTGCACGTCACTGTTAAGATACGACCATACTTATATCTATACATTGAGATATGAGGCTATATGTAATCGTGTTGGATTCATGTATAGTTTTACTAAACCAATTTAGTCATAGTCGAATATATATATATATATATTCATATATCTATGAACACAATTACATTTTTTTCCGAGTGTTTTTAAAAGTTTAAGTTTTAATACATTATTGATCGTTATGCTGAATTAACTCTTTCTGTTTGGGCCACCCATTTATATATTATATATTATTATTATATGTATATATATACCTATTCCGAGTATCACAAAAACATGATACATGGACAAAGTTGATGCCCATGGGCATGCACAAAATAGAAAAGTTAAAAATTGTAAGTGATAAGAATTTATGAACCAACAGTTTAGTCTAATGATCAGCAAATAGAATTCAAAAATATGTAAAGGATATTGACTTATACGAGCATTTGAGTTATGAGTGTACCCTGTTTTTGAGTATACACGGTGTAGATGTGTATTTTATAACTATTATTCAAGTATTAAATATTTTAGACACTTATAATTAATATTGTACATGGTATTTAAAAGGGTGTAACGTGGGTGTTCTCCAACTGCGCTCTCTATCGACAATCAATATGTCATATAATTCCTACCAAATTCATTTTTTGAATTTGTTATCTTGTGATACTAATATACAATATACATTATAGTTATACAATTAGAAGTCCATTATGTATAAGTTCAAATAATAATACGTCACAAGTTATATTATCTAAACCTCTATGTAGATAATATTTTTCAATGTTGACGTAGGTACATTGAAATAAATAAAATAAATAAAGTTACTATCAATAATCATGTAAACTATATTATAGTATACATTATAAATTATAATATAATTATGGTATTTATAATGTTCAGATTTTCAGAGTATAAATTATTACTTCAATTTAACATCTATTAAGTTAAAACTTCAATCTCGTCAATAATTTTAATTCATAAATCTAATAAGATTCTTTTAAAATTATCAGATTCGTCACACACCTGCACTATAAGTTTGAATTATTTTGTACGATTACGTTCACAACATTTTTTAATCAATTTGTAATGAAATATAATCTATAAAAAATATTGTTTTTTTGTAACTTACAAGGAATTTCATAAGTTATTCAAATTGTCAATATCACGTATTCCTACGATCCCTTCTATACCTTTCAAAACGATTTATTTGACATAATAAAATGTTTATAAAACCAATTTGTATGGTGTTTGAGTCAAGTAAGAAATCTTAAATAGAGCGTAGGTGACTTTTTTCTTATACAATTTTTAGAATATGTTGTGAAAAATTCAAGTAAAGAAAACCAATTTAATGAATATTAACCAATCCATGACAAAACCCATTGATAATATATACTATTATGACATAATATCTATTATTTCTATTGTTCTTGATTGAATAATTTATTTATACAAGAAACAAAATAGTATTCATAAGACGTACATTTCTCTGTTCTCTCCCGACATTTTGATATCAGCATAATTATATTCCAGTGAAGGAAGTAAAGAAACATTTCCCTATTCCCCATTGGAAATTGTTCTTTTTACACATAATCTAATTGCATGTAAATCAGGAAAATAGTCGTTCAAATACATACACTTGCATAGAAAATTGTGATATTTTGAATATGAGGGTCTGTCAGAGAAATGTACGTTATAATGGAGACATGAACGCACGAACAAATGTCGCAACGTTATACATTTTAGAAAAAAAATTATCTTCTTATATATTTTACATGATTCATACAAAATAAATAACTAGTCGGCTGTTGTGAAAGAGAACCCCGTTGTGCATTATTGAAATATTTTTTTGGGTGAACATGAGTTCGTTATTGTAGCGAGAAGGGAATCGGTCATTCAGCGGGGTTGTGCGGGTGTTCGAGTGTGGGTCTGCGAGTGCGTGCCGTAACGGGTGTCTATTGCAGCGTTTCCCAAAGTGTGTTCCACGGAACCGTAGGGTTCCGTGGGACAATGTCAAGGGTTCCGTTAGATGTATGAGATTATTGAGAAAATTATGTTTATTTAATGTTTATTGTTTAAAAAATGTTTGATTGAAAATTTTTTTTTAAACTAAGTTTAATAATGAAAAGTCATTAACAGTATCATTAAAATATTATTTGGACTTGAGAGTTTAAGGAATTGATTTTCCTTTTTTAATTTACAACAATTGTAGTTGAGTTGGATTAGACATTAGGGTTCCGCGAAACACAAACAATTTTTTAAGGGTGCCGTGGTCGTAAAAGTTTGGGAACCGCTGGTCTATTGTATAGGTCGTACACGGCAGTGGCCGTTCCAATATTCACATCTATAATATAATATTATATTATATTCAGAAAATATAGGTACAGAGCAGAACCAACCGATAAACCCATCAAACTGAGGGTGATTATTAATGGTTATTTTTTTATTAAGTATTTAAAAATTTTGAAAGTAATAGAAAAATAATATCACGGGTAGTCAATTTCAATAATATTATTTGATACCTTTAATAATGTGATATAATAAATATCTTTATAATAGCAATGTTTTGATCTTAGTTATAGACGATTTAATTACAATCAGGCAGTTAAATGACCTAGCGTGATGTTTAGTAGACGATTATAATATTATCCTTCGTTCCGCTTCATAATAATAAATAAATAAAATATTATTTTGTAGGAGATTTACACTCAACAGAATAGTTTTTGATTAAGAGTTTCCCATAAACCTTATAAGTCATCATAAACATTTGAAACCTTCAATTGTTATAGGTTTAAATATTTTTCCTTCGTATATTTTTACATTTGTATGGTGTAATCGTGAGAATGATTAATTAATCTACAACAACCAATATTTAACGAAATAATGTACAGAAATAACGTAGTCGTACTTTTATTCAATTTCAAAATATATACAAACAAACAACAAGGTAAAATAAATGAAGATAAAAAAAAATTGGAAAATCGTAAAGGTCCATTACTATACTATGTAGTTAATGCTACTGCAGTTCATCGTTAGACACCGTATAGTCAACACGCACCTTATCGCGTCTCACGAGTTCCGTATTAAATAGCTTCCGATAGCAGTATAATAGTGTACACTTTCCGGACCTCAGAAGCTGGTTAATTATAATAGCAGATAAATAACGATAAAACCAGCAGTCTCAAGCCCATAACACTAAAATGTTTACGAAGCTACCAACTTTGAAAAGCCCGTCAATTCGTCGACGAGTTCAATCAAATAATTCAATAAAACGTCACCGATTACTACACCCAAAATCTTCCCTAAACCAAATCCACTAAGAACCACATCAATTCTTAATCAACTGCAAAAGTCCTCATCAAAAATCACACCCAATGTCACCACTTCAGAAACCCTAATCGACACGGATAACAGTAAACAATCTTTCGTCTCCACAGTCGCAAACAGTCAAATACCGAAAAAAGACCAAGCAATAATAAACCATAATCTGCCGCATAAAGATTACATAATCGCTATCGGCAAATTAGTTCAACCTTCGAACATTCTATTCGCGTCCCACTTATCCAGTTCGTCGTTAACGCTACGGACAAGTTTAGATAATCCACACGTATATTGTATATATTATTATATTTAGTATGGACATTGTGCATCATGCACTTGAGTTTACGGTCCCCTGCCTATCTAGCCGACAGAATATGTTATTTTCTTTCTTTCGTTTTTTTTCTTTTGTATCGGACGTATCCCTGACGTGTCTGTAAAATATAATGTATATTATATTTACTAGATAATATTACATATATTTGCTCCGGCTACCCCCAAACACCATTATAGTGTTTTCTGATGCATATACGGCCCCCGTAGAGTCACCCGTGCTGCGATGCTTTCTTCGCCAGACAACTGTTTAAAATTATTTATTTGAAGTCTGTGTACAAGAATTTTATCGTTTTGTGGACACTCGAGCCGTCGACGAGCATTCTGTATCGGTACGTTCAGGGGGTATACGGAAAAAAAACCACGGAAAAAAAACCAAAATGATAATATAATCGATATTGTACATCAATTTGTACATCTTCATGTATAATATTGTTTTCCGGCATATTTTAAGGTATACATATAACCTTTGTGACAAAGCTTATCTGCGTCCTTATTTGATTTAATAATTTCCATATTTAAAAATATTAAATCCTGAACTTAAAAAAAAAACAATTTGCAAGACACAAAACACAATAACACAATACAGTAAAGTCACAGTCAGCACAATGATCAATAGTATGATCTTCATATTCCCCCAATTTCAACTATAAATCTTGACAGATTAACTTGTCACTCGTCAGACTTGTCTGATTATATTGTTGAGTTATTTTTAATTTTCGAAACCAATAGTATATCTACAGCATAGAATAATAGGTCTATGATCTACAGGGAATTTCTCAAACTAAAATGTATGTAATAGCATACATAGTGTTTTGTATTATTATTATCTCTATTATTATATTACAGTCAATATATCACTCATAAAATTGATACTTGTAAAGTTGGGTAAGTGTAACACCAAAAAGTGACTAACTTGCTCAGCTTTAAAAATTGGATAAAATAAATATAATATAATTAATTATATAATATTTGAATGTATAATTAATTTATATATAAATTTTATTCGTTATAATATTGATAACACAGCAATAGATTGTATATTATTATATTTTGTGATTATACTTATTCTCTGATTATATTATTATCATTTTGGTTTTTTTTCCATTGGTTTTTTTTTCCGTGGTTTTTTTTTCCGGGATTCGTTCAGGGTTATCCAAAACGACCAAAACGAATTTTACTTGTATTGAAAAATTATTGGTTTAGTACACTATTTGATGTCTTATACCTACCCTAACATATACTGTTTTGGGTCACCGCTTTTGTCACGCTTGCGCTGTGACTGTGCGTGTGTCACTTCTTCCCTGACTGGTTTACAAAGGTGGAGTGCCTGAAGTCACACGGCTATGCCCTACTTCGTCGCATCGACCTTCGGTATATTTTGGCACCCCCTGGTCCCTACAATCCCCGTCGCCAGAATCTTGGTTTTATTGAGCTCGGACATATTCTCGATGACAATTTCATTTGTGACCACGCCGTCGTTAGGTTACATCAAAGAACGGGGCACTCTACAGTGTAGTCTACACTATACACTTTACCGTCTGTAAGTTGAAATATATATATATTATTTAACTCTATATTATATTATTGTATGCGTTTTAAATTTTAACTATATCATGCAATAACAATTGAACAATAATTGTTTATAACTCTTTTATTTTCGTCATTCAACGTAACACACACCCAATGTAACGCACTGTATTACAATTATTATTTTTTCTTACTTTCTGTTACGAATGACTAAAGGTAGTATAATTTAATATATGTAGGCAAATATCTAGTATTTTGTGCTTATAGTTAGGGTGTAATTGGTGAACATTAATGTGATAACAATTTTAGAGAAAAGTCGATGGAATTGAATCTTATAATTTTTTAATAAATCGATATATGCTTGCTGATAATCCATAATTGTTTTCAAAAATTTGTATAAGTATATTTAAATCCATCACCAATATAAGTTTAGTTATCAGTAACATTTCTAAAATCGAATTTAATTAGTACATACATATCAAATATGGCTATTTCTC